GTTTTCCACATATTTTTTGAGAAAGAATGATGGCACCAAAGGATTAATGTCTGAGAACAGCATTACAGATTTGGAACCTTTCCTTCCAGCAGTTCATAAAAGCTTGAGCTTTCTGAAGCTCACAGTATAACACTATAATCTTTGCCAAATATTGAGCATGACTACGGTATAAATATGCAACTACACCAAATACACACAGAGGATACAACAACATAAAGCCCCCAAAACATATGGCCAGGTAGACAGAGCTATGAAAGTATACTGGAGACCTAACATAGATCCACTGTGGGCCTCACAGCTCTGTAAAATAGTAACCATGGTTAGGAAAACAGACCAAATCTTTGTTGTCCCTAAACCTTGTTCTAAAATTATGCTAATGATGACTAATCCTTGACTCTAATGAGCAATCAAACAAACTAAAGCACAGAATCCTGAACAACATGTAGCTTTTAAGCTTTAAGTAAATACCCATTTCCAGGGACACAGTAATCTGTATCTTGGGGAAAAAGGAAAAGGAGTGGTAACTAATTTGGATAAGGATAAAGTATTTAATAGAAAGCTATTATTGTGGCTTTTATATATATAAATTTTTACTTGTGTCAGCTTGTCAAACAAAATGCAAGCCCTCTGTACAGGCATTTGTCAGCTGCAGATTGTAATTGGGTCCAAATCCACTAAATCGCTCTAACTAAAACTAAAGTTGCATTGTTATTCCTAAGGAATTTCTGCAAGCAATGTAAAATGTATTGAAATGTCAAACTTTTTCTGCAAAAGAAATGAGCAGTAAGAGAAGATAAAACTACACCAAAAAATATGTGCTCTCTCCAAGTGCTTAATAAGAATAACCAAAACCTTTTCACAGCACAGATAACAAATTCACACCAAACCCTCTCCTGGCACATGCAACACTCAAAGAAGTCAACCCCAACAATTTGTATTATTGCCACAGTGATGTGACAATTTGCTGCTAAAGAGAAAATAGGTTTGAGTCTGTTATTTCAATAACACTTTACAGTGTTGAATAATGATGCACCTGGACATCCTTTGGACAATTGAAAACCTCTTCATCTAGGACAAGACAGCTGACATTTGGGACAAAAGCAGTCACGGCTTTGATTTTTGGACATCATATGAAAAGTACATCACTGTGTTGCAATGTTAAACATCAAAGCATTATTTACTGATGCAGGCTTCCAAAGGAGAAAATTAGTTTCCTTTTGGTGATATATTCTCTACTTAAAGCAATACCGCTGGGAAAACTTCAATGTGAGTAGGTACAGACTTGGAATACCTCAGTATGCCAAGGGTGCAAAAGTCACACATAAATAACAAAAATACGGGACAGTCCCTGGACACTTCCAGACCTGAAATTCCTTTAAAGAAAGAAACAATAAATAAAGGGCTCTGAATTTGCTTGTGGCTCAGAAAAAAAAACAGAAAAAAAGTTTGCTAGCGAGGATCCCCGTACACTTTCAGGGGATTTAGCTTCTTAAATTGAGCCCTTTGCTGCCACCACGTGGTCTTGCTGCAAGACACTTCTTGATACAGAAAAGTTAAAGTTTCCTCCTTTCATTTATGTCTCAAATACAGCCTTTAATCAATAAGCCATGTTGCTTTTCTGTTACACAGCTAAAAATCACTGCTTAATTTCAAAGAATCTAAATGACCTAAGATAAATGAACACCCAAGTCCCTTGCTTTTTAAAAAAGTATCAATGGTATTTTGATAACAGATATAACAGAAGTCACCAGATATTCAGTTCTGACTACGAGAACAGTGACCTTACACTAGTGATCACTCACTGGATCAGTGCCCTACACTGTGAAGTGCCCTACACTATGAAGTACCTAAAAGGAAACATCACTGAAAAACAAATAGTGACTTTAAATTTTAAAAGACACATTCTAATCAGTCACAAAATTTTTATTTCAAATAGTCATGCTTTCACCCAGCAGACAGCTGTACAATGTAATTCAAATACCAGAAACTTGTTCATATAATTATAGAATCATTAACACTGGAAAACGCTTCCATGGTCATCAAATCCAACTGTTTACTGAGAACCAGCGTATTTACCACTAAAACATATCCCCAAGAGACACATGTCTTTTGAACATTTGCAGAGACTGTGATTCCACCACCATCCTGGACAGTCTGTTCTCATGCTCAACGACCCTTTCTGTGAAACCTTTTTTTTCGTAATATCCAACACACACCACCCTGGTACAATTTGAGGCCATTCCCTCTCATCCTGTCAGTAGATGCCTAGGAGAAGAGATGGACCCCACCTCACTACAGTTTCCTTTCAGGTCATTGTAGATGGTGACAGAGTCTCCCCTAAGCCTCTTTTATTCCAGGCTATACAAACCCCAGCACCCTGAGCCACTTCTCTTATGACTCCCTTCACCAGCCTCACTGCCCTTCTCTGGCCATGCTCCAGCACCTCAACATCTTTCTGTAGTGAGGGGTCCAGACCTGAACATAATATTCAGCTTGTGCTCTTCCCTGCAAATTCAAGTCGCTCCTGCTACATTTTTTAAGGGATATATTCACACTTTTTTAGGTTTGCTGCACTAAGACACATGTGAAGTGTCTTTAAAAAATACTTTAAAAAAAACTCCCAAATTTTGGCAACTGTAAAATGTACCTTTTTTGGATATGGTTATATGACAGAGCTTTCAATCACAGGTTTCTCAAGCCCTCAAAAGGGCTTTTGCTGTAGTCATCCATGCTGGCATAATGCAGGATGTATGACTTTACTACTTGTATGCCAGAAAGGGATTTTCATTGATGAGACCAAACATCTGACATAAAGAAACTTGTCAGAATCCCTCTGGTGCCAGAACCCAGGGAAAGGTGATCCAGAGACATTGCAAGGAGAAAACAAAACAAAAAAACAACAACAAAAAAAAAAGGGCAGAAAAGAAAGAATGTTTTTCACTTAGTCTTGTAGACAGGAAGGCTTTCTTAGCCCTTGTATTGAACAATGTGTAATCTGGGATGCCTGTTTTTCCTAGGAGCCCAAAGGCTCAAAGGTCAGTTTCTCTCCACAAACACTATAACCTTCATGCAGGCAAACTCTGACCTTCATCCTGGAAACCAGTCTCTCTGGTGACAATCATTTCAGCAAGGCACTGTGGTAAAAGATATAGACAGAGCTGTTCTTTTGCACAGAAGTACAAACCATGAAGCAAATAGCTTTCATAAGGATTATATTTACTCATGAAAAAAAATGCACTCCTTGAAACACTTCATTAGGGCAACAGGGAGCAGTTGGCTTTGATAACGTTTGTTGTAAAAACCCTCTTTTCAAAAACACATTGTTCTACTCCAGCTTTGAAAGGACTGATCCAAGAGCTCTGTTTTATTGATGATTTAGGTTCTGTTTGAGACTGATACTGTTCCATATGCTTTCTGGCCAGAATGGAGAGCATGTCTGTAAAGAGCCCTCAGCCCACTTTGAGAAAAGCCAAGAAATTCCATAAGCACATAATGGTGAACCATCCAGAAGAATCACAACACATCCAGAACTGGGGCATAAGCTCCAGGAAAGGAGAGGCTTCACCCCACAGAAAGTAAGAGGGCACACTGTCTGACACAGCTATTTTAGTACTAGGCTGTGCCTATTTCCATGGACGTGCACGTTGATGGCCAAACAATCTCTTCAGTGCAGCTAATGGAAGCTTGTAACAGAGACAGGAAGCAGGAATGTGGACAGACAAATGAAATCTGATTTCCAGACATTAGTCAGGCTTTCAAGATTCTTAATGCTTTGTCTAACAGCTGGCTGGTTTTAGCTTATGGAACATTAGAAAGACCAAATATAAATCTTAACATGATACCAATTATAGTATGACTATGTAAATAGGGAAGCCAGAAACCTGCAATGCTCCCCGCCTCCTCACCCTAATTAGCCCACCTGTTATTGAGTGTTCATATTTGCCACGTCATTACTGTGATTGTTTCATAAAACAGTCGATGAGTCTGCTGCTTTACCTGCCTGCCTCAAACCAATACATTTAGACAATCTCATGATTATCCCAGCTGGTCTGTGCTTATGCTTATTTAGTGACAGGCAGTCTGCCTCCTACTCACCTTTTGCTTTATGTCACATTGTTTACAGGACTTTGAACACTGCACATTTTTGTTGACATGTTTAAGATCTGTAACACACCACACCACAGCCCATTACTCATCAACAGTCTGTTGGTATGGCTCTGATACTCTGCTAGGAGCAAGGAATTTAATTACTTGCATTGTTCTTCAACTCATAAGTTCTTTAGATTTCTTATTCCTTGCTGGGAAGTCTTTAGATGCTATCTTGCTTTTCATAAACAATATTGCTGTGGTTTCTTGTCCAATTAACTCATTTTGTACATATTAGATGACTAATAATATAGATTTTTTCAGGAAAATGAAATTTTCTCCTATTATCTTGAATAGGAGAAAGCAGGTCTTAAGACAGAAAATATAAAGAGATCCATTTAAAATAAATCCATACATAATGGATGGCTGTTCATCTCTCAGCCAAATACAATTTTGCTCTCTCAGAGCGCCTTATGGGAAAAAAAAATTAAGAATATTCTAAACAAATTGGATCAGCAAATATTATTGTGCATAACCAAAACAGAACTATACTACCCATTTAATATCCATGAGCTTCCTCAAATTTAGGTGTTTCAATTAGTTTTAACTCTAAACTTCCTCCCCAGGCACAATGGTAATGGTTAATGTAAACCACTCAGCCATAACTTCAAATTAAATTTGTTTAGCTATAATTTTAAATTTAAAAAAAAGACATAATATTCATTAGTACTATGATTTAACAGTTTCTAACATTAGTCTAGGACTCCATTTTTTATAACTAATACATTAATCCTCTGGGCTAATTGACCAATTAAATTACTGTTCTACCTAAATTCAGAAAGCAGAGGAATAAAAAAGTTTACAGTAAAGTATATTCTAGAGCAAAAGAGACAAAAATAAACTGTGGAACCTACCTCATATTTCCTGCCATAATGAGGAACAGGTTATAAATGTGAGAAAATATGAAGAGGAAGAGGATGGTACTGAAGAACATCGTCATCCAAGACCCATGGTCCTCTCGAAACATCTTCAGACGGAGCAACTGACCTATGGTACAAAAATTATGAGAAGGTGTATTTTAATCAGTCAGTAAATACATGTTTACATAGCAATAAAACCAAAATAAACTACTAAACTCTATTTATTCCTATAGCAAATTATTCCACTGTGTGTGAGGAGGATGTACTTAGCATCGTGCAGACAAACTACCCTTCTGTAGTTCAGTATGAACAGACATTGCTACAAAATTACAAATTACTTGCAATCCAAAGGGAGAAAAAAAAGCAACAATAATTCATTAATATCAGTATTTTTAAGAGATGATGAGAAAGACCACAGGACATAACAATGCATTTCAAGTGCTAAAAAGGTTACTGATTCATACATAATTTTCCTTTTTCATATTCAAGACAGTTTTTCATATCCAAGACAATGTGAAGTATTTGAGGTATGTCCACTGACAAATATTATTTGCTTCCCTAATTTAATTTGGTAATCAAATTATGACTCTGTGTAGAATCTTGTACTGTATGTTTTTCTTAGGCCTAATCACTTTAATTGTATGATATGATAGTATACTTTATTCTGCAAAGAACTCCTTTTTTCAAAGAATACTGGTGTGTCTTGCCACTGGAAAAGAAGCTCTGCTTACTCTTGCCACTGGTGTTAGGTGAAACCTTTACGATATTTTTACCGCAAACATATTTTTCCTGGGCTAGCTTTTCTTCTCTGTCATCTCTGCCTTTAGAGAAATGTTTAGAGTATTGAAAACCTCACCAGCACAAGAGATGGGAATTTTCTTTTGCAAGGCTGAGATTGCCACAGCAGAAGCCAAGAAGGGGTAAAGGAAGACAAGGGATAATGCAAGCAGCAAGGTGAAGGACAGCACCTACCAAGGAGACAGAGCAGTCTGGTGCTAGAAGATGTGAAAACAAGAACAGAAGTAATATGAGGAGCTAGACAGGAAGTGTCTAGAGAAGTGATATAGCAGACTGAGATGCGAAATGGTCTGGGATGGAGGCAATTTCTCTCAGCTGGTTGTTGAATTACCAAGTCCACATTTAGCATTGATTAGAACTGGACACAGAGGGAAGGTATAAAGTGGGAGAAAATAACAAAAAATTTGAAACGCTGATTCAGGCAGACAGGAAGAGTCCAGGACTAGTATTTGCAGCTGAAGATGGAGATGCAAGTTTGGGGGAGGAAGACTTGAGGACCTGGAGCAGACATGGGCTATGGGCTGAAGAGGTAGGATGTGAGCTTTGGATTAAGCAGCTGGAGGATAAGAGTTCTTTGAAAAAGCTGAGACTTTGGAATGATGTGGGAGCCATGAGGCAGAAAAAGTGACATGTAGGTATAGGGGGTGCTGAATGAAGCTCTGTAGTGGGACAAGAGAAACACAGGTCCACAAACCAGTCCAGTAGTAGGCCAGCAACAAGATTTCTGTGAGTGAAGCAAGGTGAAGGAAGGGAAAGTGCAAACACACATGTACAAGCCCCAAGCCCCTGCTCTCTTCTATGCTTTCACTGCTGGAAACCATCACAGACCCCCACCTAGCTAGACTGAGGATGTCCCACAAGTCTGTCCTTCCCTAAAGAGCAAGTGGAGGCTGCTATGGCAATAGTACATTATCCTGACTTACTGAGAGGAGGGGCTTAATGACAAAAGATATTTCCCTTGCAGTGTGATACCTGTTCTCTGAACAGCTGCCATTGCACATGGAATACTAGAGACACCTTGGATAATAAGCAGTACCCGCAAAATAGAGTTGTGATTTCAGGAGGTCCAGATTAATGGAGAGAAAGAACACAGCCTGGAATCTAGACTTCTGTAAAATAGACAACTCCAACTTTTCTAAAACAGGTAAGAGGAAAGATTTAATAAATATTCATTGAACCTGTACTCTCCAAAGCAATGCTTTTTTTTCTATTTAGTTATTACACACTGATTAATACCTACTAATATGTATAAATATAATATTCTTAAAATAATATTTTCATAAATGCTGTCTTCAGTAGACAAATTCTTCCACTTTAACTTTCCTTCTACTGTAGCTTGTGTTTGCCATCTACGACTTCATTAACTCTCAAGCAGGGTTCATCAACATAATTTTTTAATTAAAGAAATAGTACTTAATCACAACACTGATATGTAAAAATGAAAGGAATTGAATATTAGCACAATCTTCTTACCTAACTGCATACAAATGTTGCAGACGTTACTTATTGTTCCCACTGTACCAGTAAGTATAACATGCTAAATGCACTTAAAATAAAATATGTTAAGTGATCCACGTAATGCTCACACTGCTTTATATATCCTTTCACATCAATTCAGTTGAAATAAAAATGGGTGATCAGATGATTGCCTAACAGGTAAGTTGCTAAAGTAAAAATTGCAAATAATGCTTATTGTTTTTATAACAAAAACTAGGAGTCTGTATAATGCTTGGTTTTTATAAAATGAGCTAAAAGGTTACACTTTAAAAACCCACACAACAGAAATATTATGGGGTGTGAATGGTCAGAAATTTGGAAAACCTATCTAATAACTGGAATAGACTTGTAGTAGATTAAAATACAATTTGAAACAGCCCAACAAAATTCTCAAAGTAATTCCAGAAAAATAAAACCGTTAATGTAAAATTAGGGTTTTTATTATAAAGAATAGCAAAAAAAAAAAGTAGCAAGGGGAAAAGAGAGTAGATAAGGAGTAATATTACACAAAATAGCCTTTTGACTCATCTTGACTTTCTTTTTTTGGTTTTTTGTTTGTTTGGGTTATTTTTACTTCAGAAAAAATTAGTTGCTTATTATGAACTTGTTAAAAATGTAAAATAAACTCCAAAGGTATGCAGAGAAGAACATGGTTATTAGGATATATTTACACATAAAAAATTATATAGTTAAAAAAAACCCAAATAAATGTGTTAAGCCTAATGGACCTTTGTAAATGCAAGCTAAATGCCATATGAACGACCACCAGTGATAAACTGTGAATTAACTGTATACAAAAATCAAGATTGTCTTATCATAATGTTTCCAAGCTCCACTAGAAGTTTCCTCAAAATGTAATTTCTTACTGGAAACAGGTGTTTTTATCTGCTACAATGCTTGGAGCACATCAGCAGTACTAGGGGAACACAGGGTAGCAGAGATGTCAGCGTTTAGGGTCCTGGAATAAACCAGGCAGTAACCAAACAGTATTTTTTTTCCAGTCCAAGAGAAAAGACAACTCAATAGGCAGATAAAAAAAAATTGAGTCAAACAGGTTACTTTCTGAAAAACTAAAGTTTTTCCAGTATATTTAGATCCACAGCCCATATGACGGTTGCACTCAAACTGCAGAAGCAGAAACAAAAGAAACAGTAAGTTCTTACCCAAGCATTTAGCATGCTTGTCTTAATTATGAGTGATGGAAACCATAAACTTCAACCATTTCCTGGGCATATTTGTAATATTCTAATACCAAGATCTTCACTGAATCACATGTATTCCTTCAATTCTGGGTCCCCCTATCAAGGGACTGCTCTTTCTGCCCACTTAGTGCTCGAGGTCATCTTCACCTATGACTGAAACTGTTCAACTGAAAAATTAACCTCAACAAATGGGAAGTATTTTTTAACCTTGAAAACCAATTCTACTTTCATCAAAGTTTGGCAAGTCTGATTTTAGCCAGTACTAAAAAACATATGCACACTATAATGCCACGGTGCTGTTCCTTATTCTGCCCCAATACAATATGTGTATGTGTGCTGGCTGGCTTTGCTTAAGAATACATGGACTTAGCAGTGAATGCTGTAATGTTCAGAATAAGAAAGTTTGCTTAATATACAGATGCAAAATTCTGGATTCAAACTGTGAAGACAATCTAGTCATATCCTGTAGCTTGAGTTATTGTGTTGGTGCTAAGACAGTAGACAGAAAACTTGCTATTGTCTGATATAAAAAAATGTCACTTCTGAAAATATTACAGCACATATCTTCTGGACATCAGGGCGGCTCCAATGGGTTCAGCATAGAGCAGGTCATGCTGCCTGTCTTCTTGCATGCAGTCAGACTGCATCTGTGATTGTATAGGCTTTGAATTTTTCTGATGGAAGACCAGGAGATCCTGGAATAGCACCAAGCTGGGGGTCAAACCCCTCGTGCTTTCCTCTTGCTTATTAAGTTACCTCAGGAAAGGTTCCTTTTATCTCTGTACCTGCATCCCTGTGTCCACCCTCTAAGTCCCTCACTTCAGTTGCAAAGCACAGCTTCAAGAACCTAGTCTTATTTGTGGTCTCTAAGCTCTGCTACAATGCAAAGAATTAACAGGAGACAGCAAAAATATTTTAGAAAATTCAAACAGGAATCCCCAGGTAGACATGTGGGAAATGCCTATACAAACAGACATATTTTCTAATGACTCTCTGAGCTCCAAATGCACCTTACACAGCTGGGCAGCTCCATCCCCTTCAGCTACAAAACCAAGTTCATACAGCTCAGCCCTGAGTGCAGCCCAGCAGACTGAAGGTGATGAAGGAGCTAGGGGGTTTTGTTTCATCATCTGTGACTGCCCTGATGAAGTTAACAAGGCTGCACATGCAGACTTTATCTGGCCAACCTGCAGCAAAGCAGAGCAGGTGGCACAGCTGTTTGCCTCCCTCCATTTAGACCTACCCTTGGCCAGAAGCTTAATAAGATCAGGAACCTGACATTCCAATTCCCTCATGCAGCTATGGCCATACTCTTTGCAGACAGTTTAGGACATATTTATACTGCCATTTGTAAGGCAGTACACTTCACTGAAAAGGAAGGCAGAGAGGTAGGAAATGCCATTTAATTCCAAGAACACACAAACTCTAGCCAAGAGGATTTTAGGAAAATATAAATTTCCTATACCTATTCAAACTACTTTTAATTGGACATATCATGAGAAAACATTACTTAACTATCTTTCATGTTTTAAAGGATTTACAGGGATATCTTATAAATGTCAGAAGAAAACAATTACACAGTTGGCGTAATATTTATATTCACAAAGGCTAAGGAGCAAGGAAAGTATAGCTACCTTAGGTTAAAGTCCAGTGCTTCAATACTTTAAAAAAAATACATTTATAGAACAAACACTCCCACCTGTGAAATACACTGTGAGTAGAACAGATGGTTTTCTATCTACATAATTTCCTGGAAAGTCATTTGACTGCCTTTGTTGCTGAGCTTCTAGAGAAACCACTTTTCTTCCTAATTTTGTTGAGTACAGTCTAAACCAGCTTTTTGTCAGGTAACTGAGTGGACTATAAATTTGCAAAGCACAATAATGCAGTCTTTATTTAGCAGGTCTTCAATGCAGCTTCTGTTTGTTACGGTTCGACCCATGTATGTGAACATACATTTGGAAAAGTCTTAGTGTATTAAGCTTGACATGAAAGCAAAGCATTACATTAGGAAAAAAAAAAAACCACTATTGCCAACTCAATGGTTGAAGAGGTTTCAAAATTTTCAATGAATCAATAACATTCTGAAAAGGTCCTTTCTTTCACTCAAAGTGTGGCCTGTACTGATGAAAATTTTATTTTGTCATCCTAGCAAGCACTGTAGTGGACTCTGATCTATAAATTGCTGTTGGGATGATCCTCATACAAAGCTTCTAATTGAACAGACCTCACAGTCTGGCATTGTTTGGAAATTTTCTAGAAACATAACAAACTGCAATTGGTGACTGACTGAGAATATTCCAACCTTTGGTTTTATTAGGAATAAAAAAATCATTAGAGTCAAGCATAAAACTTTATAAGCATTAGAAACTTGCTTTGAAAAATACCCTGCAGATCTATATTCCACATATTCCATAAAGTGAATTGATATAAAGTAGGCCATAAATTTAGATGAAAATAATATTCTCTAACCCGACCAAAGCACAATCTTTTAATCCTGTGACAAATATTTACAGAAGAAAATAAAAGAAAAAGGTCACAAAAAGCACTTTGTCTAGCACTTTAGATTGAAAAGTTTCTGTGGTCTTCACTAAAAGCAGAATTTCATCCTCATTTTTCCTGATCTCAGTCACAGCTCAGTGCACAGCTGCCCACATGAAACTTGCCCCTGGGCCCCATACGGATGCTCAAGGCAATCAAAGCAATGATGGAATGAGCATGAGCAATTACTGTCCTTCTGTCACCTCCCCTGCTTTTCCCGAAGATAGATTAGTGGCAAGGGACACTGCTCTCACTTGAGTGCACACTTTTTTTCTCACATCCATTGTACAATACAGTAAACAGCAGAGAGGAAAGAACATAAAGCTTCTCATATAAGTTCATGAAGATCTGCTTGTGGGGGTGTTGTAGAGTAAGCTGTGTTACCTACTTGGAGTTTACATTTCTTTCGAATAGAGGAGAGAGTTTTTACACTACACTGTGTTCTGAATTCTTTTGCCAGTTCAAACAGACTGAATTTAACTTATAATTTTTGAATTTCAAATGCAATGCATCCAACTCTATTTTTATTTTAAAGGCTGTTGGTCTCTCTTTTCCCTTCAGGCATACTCCATGGACAGATGATGAATGGTACATGCATTATTTTCATTTGCAACAGAAATCCTAAGCTGGAGTGGTACTGTTATTTGCTGATTCTGGTTTGCCTTTTCACTTTATTAACAGGATTTCTAGGCAATGTACTTGCACTACGACACTATGTTTACTGCATGAAGACATGGACGACCAATACCATATTTCTGTTTAATTTAGCACTGTGTGACTTTACTTGGACTCTCATGGCACCTTTTTCAGTATATTATAATGTCCAGAAGTTTGCCATCTATTTCAGTCAAACATTTTATGAGATCATAGGACTATTTTTTAGTATTAATATCTACGGAAGTGTGTATTTCCTGACACTCATCAGTTTTGACAGATACATAGGTGCTGTTCATCCCATCAGCTCATTAACATGGTGGGACAAGGAAAAGGCTGTGTTTTGCACTATTGGGGTATGGATCTTCATCGCAATTGCATCTGGGCCTGAGATTTACTACATAGTTGCAGAAGCTAGAAAACAGCATGACATCATAAATTACCTGGATAACACTGAAGAACCATTGCAATTTGCCGTGCCATTCACACTCTCCAAATTTCTGCTGAGATTCCTAATTCCAGCCACAGTCATCTTTACATGCTATATGTTGACACTCAAAGCATTACTACAATTCAGTAAACGTCAGCAAGGAAGGAACAGACTTGTTAGGCCTCTGTTACTGATTTCAGCTGCTATGATTGTGTTTGCTGTTTCTTTCATACCTTACCATGTTATGATGATGGTGATACTAATTTACAGAATTAATTGCCAACAACCCTGTGGGAACATAAGCACATTAAGCGCCATTTACAAAGTCACAGAGATCATCTGCAGCACCAACAGTTGCCTTGACCCAATCATTTTTACAATAGCAAATAAGACATTCTGTCAAAGAATTAAAAGTATAAAATGTCATCCCAAATGCCAGTACTGCTGTTGTCTGAGAGGAAGGGTAAGGGACATCACTCTGTCCCTGAGAACAATGACTTAAACACCAGCGTACACAGACTTGCATCTCCAGCTGCTCATTTGGCTTTGTGTCATGAGACCCATTTCGTGTTTGGTCTCCCATATTGTACAGTTATCTCTCAAATAAGCAAGAATACACAGAAATGCAGAGTAAAACTTAACATGACAAGAAATACTAGCAGCTCCTAGCTTTACAGAATTGGCATTGTAAATATTGTTATAATCTAATTTATTGTGAAATAATACTTCTATCTGTATGCATGTGCAACATGGAATAAAAAATTATGAAAAGTTCTAAGTAGTTCCTTTAATTCTGGGAGAGAAAAATACAAGATTAAGAGCAGGCAGTGTTGAGGAGCCTCCTTATAGTTTCTGTTAATTATTTCTTCATCTGTTTGTAAGTGCTGCTGTGGTTGTGATTGTGCAATTAATAACTGTCAGAATGCTTACAGCTGAACTGCTTGAGCATTTGCAGAGAGGCTTTCTACAAGTACTTCATTTTAATGCTGCTTGCTCTAGAGTTCCACTGGCAGTGGAACCTCATTAACCCAGGAAAGTGCAGCACATTTCCAAAAACAAACAAACAAAAAAACAAATAGTAAGATAGAGTCCCTGAGGATAGTCAGAGCCACAGTGAATCTGCTCATGAAACAAACCAGCATGGTTACAGTGCTGTGCTAAATCTTCTCCCAGGCAGCAGGGGTTCCCCCACAAACCCCAGGCAACTACAGTTGTTTGTTATTAGTGCTCTGCTTCAGGGGAGCCTGTGTTCTACCACGAACTCTGAACTCCTCAAAAGGGAGAAGTCTGCACAGGAAAAGCTCTGAATGAGCTGCAAGAAGGGTAAGAGATGCAACTACACAGAATGCTTCTTCTCCTGTTCCTCAGGGATCTTAGCATCACAGTTTCAGGACAGTCCAAGATAATTACACTACAATACATTTTAGTCCTTCAACCAGCACAATAGTCATCAGAACATCCACCTTCAAGAGTCATTAAATATGTGTTCTTTCATCACACTGCATGGGCAACATAATCATGTTCCAATAATCAGCCACCTGCTGACTTGTTTTTGTGCCAAGTTCCACACATTACCTTGTTAATTATGAAAGCCCATGTATCAGTGAGCACATTAACTTTACTTTCAAAGTTACTGATGACAAAATAGATTTTAATATACTTTTTACAGTCTTAATTATTTAATTTCCACAGTTTTAATATAATTTGCTCCCTGTATGTATTATAAAATTATTCCATTCTACATGGGTATTCAATCTCTCTTGTTCTGTTTCAATTGTATTGACTAAATATATACGCATAAAATCTAGATTTTTTTTAAATGGTCAGTAACTGTGACAAGAAAAGAAGTCGGTTCTGATAATCTGAAAAACTTTACAAGTATTGGGATGTACTACTACACTCACACAATCCCACAGAAAAATCGCATGCCTATGTGTACTTACCTCATTCTAAGTAATGCTTCTTTCCTTTGATATTTCTTAATATTTCCATTTTTCTTACTTTAAAAGAAAAACATTCCTTTTTTTTAAAAAATTTAATTGTCTATTAGAAATATGCCTCCATTGTCTGTGTCCACAAGTTCCATAAATCTCATTAATTATCCATCAATAAGACCATCTATTACAGAGGTCCCAAGATGCTCACACATGTAAGAGAAAAAGGGGGGAAAAGAGAAGTAACAACCTCATGTTTCTAGAAAAAATAGTCTCAACCAACCCTGAATAATGAAGAACAGAAGGAAAAAGGCAGATAAGGGCATTGCTACAAAACACATCTGTGCCACAATACCTCTGTTGGCTGTTCTCCCAGCCTGGACATCTCATAGAACATACCTTTGTCCTGGGCCAAGTCTAAAAGCACTGCATAATCTTTAAAAAGAGATCCTTCCATCCCTTACCCCAAGATATTTCTGTTTGTCATGATACTCAGCAGTGAATATACTCCAGTAACTGATAGGGATTCTAGACATTTGTTTTCCTGATTATAAATGGTTATATAATCAATTAAGCACTTTTTAAAAGCATTTTTGTTCAACCAGGCTGATCTAATGCTCATGTTGCCCTGATTGAAACCAAAGGTTTTCTGCAAAGTAAGAGTTAAAAGGTACAGGACATCTGTTCATATTTACTTGCTTGTAATTTTGCTTTGAAATACATGCTCCTAAAATGTTTTATTATAATATAATACCTGGATAGAATGACATAAACAAATAAAATTATATGTTTATTCCATTTTCATACAACAAGTGAACAATAAACTAAACAGCCAAGAGCCAAAGTAAACATCTTGTACTATGTTGCAATATTGGTTTCTCGCTGGTTTTTGTTTGGATTAAATCTGAGGAAATGGTATCCAGTTCAATACCTAACTATTACGAGTTTGAACACATTATACTGTATTGTAATAATGTATGAGCCTACAAAACTGACTGCAAGCTCTAGGTAGCTTTTGTGTACCTTGTCTAGATATTCTAACATCTTCGTAATACATTAAATGAACACAAGATAGACCATGGCCTGAAAGATTTGACCTCTTATGTACATGCTCAGCTATTGTCAGAGAAACAACTTCCTCATTTACTATTGTACATTCAGCATTGCTTTGGAAGCAACAATTATTAAACCAAAAGTTTCTACGTTGAAGAGATTAATTTTGCTACAAATTTTCCAAAGTTGCTAATGAAAGCATCTTTATATTCTCTATTTTTCTTTGTAATACTTTCATCTCACAGAGAAACTACTGAAATGTTCAGTTATTAAGACAGCAGCTTGCTTTTTAAAATAAAAATGTTCAGATATTCCTTAAAGTTTGGTTTTCTCTTCATATACATAAATGAGTGTATTCCGATATCAAAGTTTTTCTTTGCCATATCTCAGAATCACCTCACTTGGCAAAAAACTATAAAAATACCATAATGCTATTAAAATAATTCACTATTGTACATTGCTTTAATCTGTGGAAGTCAAATCTCTTTGGACACGAGAAAAAAATACGCCTAGAGTGATTCTGCAGCTGGAGGAACCACAGCAGAGGCAGGTGATACAGCTAAGTCTATCATCTGCCTTGAAAGAGCAAATGTAGCTTCTCTGCTCCTGCTTTAGGGAGACATCCAAGAATCTGAGGGGACAAGTTTCCCCGGAGCCTGCAATCAAGAGATGATGGGATGTGCTGGCCTCCTCCAGGGACCTATCAAACCTTCAGCCCTCCCAAGTTCTCTTTTCAGGACTTCAGCTTGGCACCTACCACCTCGGTCCCTTCCACTTCACATGACTCAGCACAGATGGGGCTTCCTCCAGCTGGGAAAGGTGAACCTTAATCAGGGAGCACTGCAGATCTCAGCTTCTGCAGTCTAAGGTAAAATGCAACCTAATGTCACAAAAGGTAACAGTCAAGGTCTCAGCTACTGACCCAGGAGGAGAACTGATGTCCTCACACAGAACACTGTGTGCTAAGACAAAGGGAGTTTAGGAGCTCGGGTTTCCCACCAGTTCAGCCAACACTGGTCAGAAGACTGATGTCTCTAGCCAGAGGTCTTTCCACTGGGCTTCTTGTGCAGCCTGTTTTATCTGATTTTGGTGGTCTCAAGGGCCTAATCTGAACTGGAGAGTGCAGGTGAATGCACACAGATGAAATGCATAGCATTCTGCCTTCCTTAGAGAAAGAAATGCCATTTTAGAAATGCCACATAGTGTTTAAAGATCTCTTGCTATTTCTCGAAGAAGAAAATAGAATTGTTCAAAAGAATGCACGTTCATCTTTTAATACCAAAACAAGAGGAGGATGGACTTTTGCTGCTGCAAGGAAAGAGCTGATGCTTTCTTTTCTTAATAGATTACCCAAAGGCAAGAAAGAGCTGGGTGGTGATGGTCAGTGCCATCTGCCATATCAAACATTGCAGGAGGGTCCTGAAGGCACCAGATCTCTGCTTTACATTTATGTCATTGCTATTACCTAGAAGCAATACGTCAGGTTGCTGATTTGGAAGAGTTGTGAAGTGCAGATAATGTGGGAAGGCCTAAAGCTATGCCAGAATTAGTGTTTAGGCCAGCTTAATTCCGAATTTTTCTGTGCCTCTCAATTTCTATTATAGAGATTTAGCCTATCATTTTAATTTTAGACTTTACTATTACTGATTTTATTACTTCAGGTTTAGACAATTGTGCTGATGCAGATAAAAGGAAACCTGTAAAAATAGATATTGATTTCCCGTAATGTTTTAGAACATTTCTTAATGGGGAAGTAACTGAAAACCCTGCATTAGCAACAGAAAATGCTAACGCATTTGTTCCTGAGGTATAGATCTTTTAATTCTATGTGACCCAATCCCAGATTATAAAACAAAGGGGGAAAAATTCTCTTTTTCAATGGCCTCACTGCATAATTTTTAAAAAAGCTAGTTAAAGGGCATGTAAGTGTTTAATTATATTTTTGCACTCTTTATTCTTTTAGAATTTTTAGCATTTTTTAACCGCCAAACCTAAGTAGCAATTTCATGATCCTCCTAATTTTTTTAATTTTAGAGCCAAAATGTTTTATCACCATATATGTCATGTCTCCAGAAACTACATTTTCCTTCTTTGAATTCTTTGGAATCTAAATTTCATGGCAGATAAAAGAAACATTACAGTGTTTAGAGCCTGTGTAATGCTGATGCTGAACTCTAAAGGGAAGTGCTGAAATATCTGTTCTTCAATACCAGTTTGCTGATGCTCTGCAACAACTTGTCAAAATAACTAGGGTTTCTCTATAGTGTTTGTTCTTTTCTCCTGAAGCCAGTTCACAAGCTTATTTTTAATAGTAAATAGAATTGCTTACAATGTATCTACTACACAGGCCTTCAAAATAAACATTTACAAAAAATTTTGAGTCAGAAAACAAAGCAGATTAAGCATGAGGTTTATTTTTTGTCTTCAATAACTATTTGCAACTCTGCTGTCTATTATGGAGACTGACTAGATCTCACATTGGACAAACAGGCACCCCAGGGGTTACTGAACATGT